TCATTAGGCTTAGTGGGAAGTAGTTTTCCTTGTTAAATCATAAATCATCTCATGGGTCGTTAGGTTTTTATTTTTTGAGACAGGATCTCACTGTGTATCCCTGATTGGCCTGAGAGTAGATGTGCAGACCAGACTCCCCTCAAAGTCACAGATGTCCACCTACCTTTGCTTCAGAGTGCTGAGATTAAAGAGGTGCACCATCACACCCTGCTAGGTCCTGTTTTTTTTTGTTTTTAATATTTTATTATTTTTGACACTTTCATACATGTATACAGTGTATCTCAATCAATTCCAGAGGTCCTTCCTTTGTGTTTTTTGTTTGTTTGTTTGTTTGTTTGTTTTGGATGGGGGAGATTTCTCACATTGTAGCCCAGGCTGACTTAACAAACTTACTCCTGCCTCTACCTGGCAAATGTTGGGACTAGAGGCACCACCACTCCTAATGAGAAATGTATTAGCATTGAAGGGAGAATAGGCTCAACTCAATGTTCTGAAAATGACTCACAGCCAATTGCAGCTGAGAGGTAGCAGAGACACAAGGAAAGGCCTTAAGCTCTCTGTACTGTAATATCAAGTTATGTGCCTTCCAGCCCTGGCTTTTTCTCAGCCATGTGACCAAAACCAATTTGCTCACCTATAAAATGTGGAAATTGGCAGCTCTTTCTTGATGCCTACATCTATGTCTCAAGTGCATAGTATTCTCCTCACCCCCTGTTTTTTTTCTTGAAACAGGATTTGTTTCTGTAGTCCAGGCTGTCCTAGAATTCAATTTATAATCCAGGATATCCTCATAGGGGTGATAATCTGCCTGTCTTGTTTTCTGGCCTTCAGAGATTACAGGCATGAGCTACTACACCCAAGTTTTTAAATTTTGTTTTATTTTATTTTTGGTATTTCTTTTTTTTTTTTAAAGTTTTTTCGAGACAGGGTTTCTCTGTGTAGCCCTGGCTGTCCTGGAACTCACTCTGTAGACCAGGCTAGCCTCGAACTCTCGAACTCAGAAATCCGCCTGCCTCTGCCTCCCAAGTGCTGGGATTAAAGGCATGCGCCACCACCGCCCGGCATATTTTAAAAATAAGTATATTTTAAAAAATTGGCTGGCCATAGTGACTCACTCCTTTAATCCCAGCACTAGAGAGGCAGAGGCAGGTGGATCTCTTGTGAGTTCAAGGCCAGCCTGGTCTACAAAGTGAGCCCCAGGACAGCCAGAGTTATTACACAGAGAAATCCCGTCTTGAAATACCAAAAATAGGCTGGGCGGTGGTGGCACACGCCTTTAATCCCAGCACTTGGGAGGCAGAGGCAGGTGGATTTCTGAGTTCGAGAGTTCGAGGCTAGCCTGGTCTACAGAGTGAGTTCCAGGACAGCCAGAGCTACACAGAGAAACCCTGTCTCGAAAAACCAAAAAAAAAAATTATTTTTTGGAGCCAAGCATGGTGGTGCACACCTTTAATCTCAGCACTAGGGAGACAGGTAGATCTCTGACTTTGAGGCCACTCTATTCCACAGAGTGAGTTCCAGGACAGCTGGCAGCTACACAGAGAAACCCTGTATCAAGACAAAACAAAACAAAAACACTCAAAAGAAAAACAAACAAATAAAACAAAATTTCTAAACTTAAAAAAAAGTGTAGCCTCCTGGCTCATATCTGTAATCTCAGCTGCTTGGTACCCTGAAGCAGGAGGAGTGAAAGTTTAAGAGAAGTCTGCCTGAATGAAACCCTGACTCAAAAAGTTAAAAACCAAAAAAAAAAGGGTTGGAGACATAGCTCATAGCTCAGTGGTAGGACACTTGTCTAGAATATATAAAGGCTTGGATTTAATCCCCAGTAGTATATAAATAAACAAATAATAAATCATGGAACCCAGAGAACTATCATATAAAACTGTTTTTGTTTTTTGAGTTTTGGGGGCGGGGTAGTACTTCTGAGGATGAACATGTATAGGGCCTTATACACGCCTGCTAAGTAAGTACCACTGAGCCTCACTCTCAGCCCCAGAATGGGCTATTATATATTAGACTACTTAGTAATGTAAAGTGTTTTATTGTTTGTTTCTGAAGACAGAATCTCCTACTGTAGTCCAGGCTAGTGCCTGCCTTGGTTACCATCCCCATCCTCTTGTCTCAACCTCTCAAGTCCTGGAATTAGAGGCAGGAACAAATACAGTTTAGTTTCAAGACTAAATGTCCAACTTCCTTCCTGAAGTTTAGGGTAGGGCATAGTTGGCTTATACTCTCCTCCCTTATCTTCTCACCAAACCCATCTGCTCTTTGGTTTCTCAGATATGTCCTGGACTCCTCTCGATCCTGAGAACATGGCTGTTGGGCTTAACGTAAGGCTTGCTTGCCTTGAGTGTATATTGCTAAGAAGGATCACCAGGTCTAATATATGTGGGTCCCACTGCTGAAACTCGTTACCACCATCAGGGAACTGAAGCTTTCATCCTGAGTTTATCTCCACGTCTGGGGCCCTCATCTGCTCTTGTATTCTCACCTCCAAGCCAGGATTAACATGGTCTGTATTCTGAGGCCCTGAATCTTTATTAAGTACCTTGGATCTCATCATATCCCTTCTAGCCAACCTTTTGGCTAGAGTCAAAGTGCCATCCACATGTATCCTTGAAGAGGCTTCAGCTGGAACACAAGCTGAGGCCCCATCTGGTGTCTCTGCATCCTTCCCTGCACTCATATGAGCACCCACATAAGTCTGACTATATTCCAGAATGCAGAATGGTAAAATGGTGATAGGAGTCAGATCCTGTCAACTGAGGAGGACATCCAGGAAGGGTATAGATAAAGCAATCCTTCCTGCAAATGGGATCAAAGTCTACCAGAGTCCTAGATGAAAGTCACATACAATGAAACCAATTGCCCAAGTCTTCTAGGAAAATCAAGCTGGCTACTTAGTAGCTTAATTCCTTGTACCCTTGAATTGCCATTGTTCCAGGCCAAACAGCTCTTCAGCACTTCCCCCTAGCAACTGTCAGGAAAGACTTGTAGCATTGACTCTTAGGTCTTGGGTCTTTTGGGAATATCCTGCCAAGTGTGGCAATGTATCTTGTCTTTACCCCATCTCTATTTCTACAGGAACTAGTTATTTATATTGGCTCCAAATTTCAACCACTATGTCCAGCTAAGTGAAACAACTTTCCAGCTAAGGAGCGCCTTCATAAAATACATGTTCCTTACACATGCCTTTTTCTTGTGGCTGTATAGATTTAAACAGCAGCCACTGTCACCTCGGCTTTGCAGTATTTATGAGAACATTCTGTTGTGCTCAGGACTATCCAATGAAAAATTTCTGCAGATGTGAAGGCATAGAACGGGATACTCCCAGAAGATTTGGATAACCTTAGCCACCAAGAAGCCCACAGACCCCAGAGGAACTAGTTAGTAGCTTCTGATTTTGAGAGCAAAACATGCTGAATTCAGTTAAGCCCCTAGAAGACCAGCAGCTCAGCTCCTTTATTTTACAGGGAAGAGTTTGGACTATAATAGAGACTGGCCAAGGTCACTAGCTCTTGATGGTACAACCATATAAAACAGGGGCTCATCTCTGGCCTTTGCCAAATGAGTACTTGTAATTGGATAAACTAACGCTGAGAATACTAAATAAATTTAACACATGAAAAGAAGATTATTACAATATATGGTAAATTGCATGTCTTATTAATAACAAATTACAAGATCTACAGCAGGCTCAATACAGCAACATCAAAGTTAAAGTTATTCAGACTGCCAGTAGAGCTTGTAATTTAATTTCTAGATCTGTACAAAGCAGCTACAGGATCTATAATGATCTATACATGTCCTTTGATGACAAAGTCACAGGTGTTTCTGAGACTTCATGTTCTACTTCCTACGTTTTCAATTACAGGCAATGCCAAAATTCCACTAGAAGTTAGTTAAAACAAGGATGGAATGAAGAAAGGGTAATGTGGAGAAATCATCTGCTTTTAGTTTAGGCTCCGGGACATCCGTTTAGGACCCCTGTGCTACACTATGACAGTGATGACAATGCTGTGCCTAAACGGCCTCCTGGGAGACTTGGAACGTAGAAATAAAGACGGTAACTCTCCTTTTCCAAGCTTGTTGTGTGACCTTACAATATTGGCGCGAAAAGACCAGCGTTCACCATCCGCGGTTTTTGTTTTTGTTGTTGTTGTTGTTTTTTTTTTTTTACTTCTTTGGCTTTGCTGGGGAAAATTCAAATCTCAAAAAAGGGCGGACCCATAAAGACGCTGTACGCCTGCGCAAGGGCGGGGCGAGAAGCCCTGGGAAGAAGGCGGAGCGGGTGACGTAAGTGGTGCAGACTGCTCCCGCGCTGACTTTGCTTGGGCGCCTTTAGCCTTGTTGGGCCGCTGGGTGGGGGTAGCCTGGCGCGCTGCGACTTGGAGTCTGTGGCCCGGTCATTCGGGAGGCGCGGGCGGAGGCGGCGACGCCTCAGGGTGTTGCTGGCGGGCCTGGGAGCGGGCCGCAGCTCCGCCCCTGTGAGCTCATGGCGTCACCTTCCGCTCTGGCCCCGCCTGCAGCTCCCTGCTGTAGCTGGGTTCTGACTGTCGCTGAGTGTTCAGGGCGGGAAAACAGCTGCTTCCCAGCAAAGGGTGCAATCGCAGTGTCCCTTCTTTACTGCCCATAACTACCATGTACCATGTCTCCACTGCTAGTTAAAGGCCACTTCTCTGGTTTGTGTCCCATCAGCGACCTGGGAGACAAATCCCAGAGGGCGGGGCCAAGCGAGTGAGGGGGGAAAGAGTTAGATTTTTCATCCGGCATCCTCAGATGCCGCAGCCATATTTGTTTTGTGCTGAAAGTCGTTATTGACGCCCGCAGACGACCGGGCGTGGGGAAGTGGCAAGATGGCGACTCCCAGAGAGGAGGCGTGGAGGAGCCCTGGTGGGGGGGGCGCAGGGCGGGGCGCTACTGCACCTGACCCGAATTCTACTGTCTCAAGCTTAATGCACAGCAGCACCAACTCGCCCGCAAGTAGACAATGCAACGGTTTTTAAAGAAGCTTTTAATTCTTTATTAGCCTTGGGTCCTTTAAGAGGCTTGAGACCAGAGGCGAAGACGTGCGAAGGCGGGAGGGCGGTGACGTCTCCTGACTCCGCCCCCTCGCCTGATAGCCGCCATGTTTAGTTGTTACTTCTTCACACAAGATGGCGGCTCCCAGGGAGGAGGCATGATCGCCCTGCCGTTACCGCTTCTTCTGCCGTACAATTGTCACTTCGGGTCTTAACTCCTGCTCTTTCGAGTGGCTCCTGTGGGAAGGAGTCTTAAGGAGGGAAGTGAGGATTGGATGCTGCCTTGCCTTTGGTTTGCTGTGGAAGAACTGTCCAGGAAGAAGAGAATAGGGGGGGGGAAGAGAAGCTAGTCTCAAGATGGCGGCTCCCAGGGCGGTCGGCACAGCCTGAATAGCAGAGGCGGACTCAAGGGAAAGGTGCTAAACCTCACGAGCCGTACGGCTCGGGGCCCCGAGAAGCAACCGGGAGTTCGAGCCCGTTCCGCCAGCCTCTGACACGCCATTATTATTTAGAAACGTTGGGGTTCTGCGATCGGTGGCTGTACTAAGTGCTGGGTGGGGAAGCAGGACGGTCTCAAGATGGCGGCTTCCACAATTGTGGTCTGACTGCCCGCAGAGCTGAGACAACCGCGGCATTTGTGGCTCTTTTCCACCCGCCCCGGAAGCCAGCCAGTGCTGGGGACGGGGTGGGGGGGGTGTGGGAACCGGGCCGGGGCTCCGCCATTTCCGGCGGGGGAGGGCTACGACTGAGGAAGGGAGGAGAGAGAGGCGGCTCAAGATGGCGGCTCCCAGAGCCTCCTGCTCGAGCTTCTAAGCGGGAACACACGGGCAAATAGTTAGAGCGACGGCGCTCAGTGGCCTCCAGCTTCTCGGGAATAGGTGCTCTGCAGTTTTGAGAAGCTTTTAAGGATACGAGCCGAGTGAGAAGGGGGGGGAAAGAGCCAAAGGAAGGAGGATAGTTAAGATGGCGGCCTCCATGGAGTCGTCCACCGCTGTGTAAGGAGCCGCTTCTTCTTGAGAGCTGCCTTAGACGAAAGGGGGTGTGTGAAGAATTAAGGTTATCCCTCCTGTTCAGTGACTTCTTCCCACTGCATCCTTAACCGGAACTATGGCTTCGGCTGTGTCCCCCGCTAACTTGCCAGCGGTGCTTCTGCAGCCCCGCTGGAAACGGGTGGTGGGCTGGTCGGGTCCTGTGCCCCGACCCCGCCACGGCCACCGTGCAGTGGCTATCAAGGAGCTTATAGTAGTGTTCGGTGGCGGCAACGAGGGGATAGTGGACGAACTACACGTGTACAACACTGGTAAGTGCTACCACCCTGGGTTTCTCAAAGCCTTCCCTCCATCTCTATCCCAACCCTTCTCTTTCCTATCTTCTCCTATCTCTCACTGCCCTGATGGGTTTTCCTTCTCCCTTTGCACTTATTGCCATCTTTGCTTTTTCCCTGATTTTTCAGCCTCCGTTCTTACACCCCCGTAATCTTCTGTGTTTAAAGGTTGCATTTCGGTACTTAGAGAAACCCTCTACTCCGACTGGTGAGGGGGAGGGGATGTCGCGGGCGACAGTGACTTCAGACGTACACCGTTACCCAGTGGGCTGGGGCTGGCGCGGCAGCGGATGTGTTCTCTTGGCGCAGGCGGAATCCTTCCCCCTCCGCCGATAGTTCTCATTCCTAGCGCCCATGCTCGTTCTGGAGAAAAGACAATATTTAGATCACAGATCCGTTCTCTACACCCAGAAAAGAAGGGACGCACTCTTTAAGGTGCAGACTTTTAACAGCCTAATGCGACCCTCGTGGCATGTAGGGATATCACGAAGGCTATACTTTTCTTCCCTCCCCCCACCCCGCACACACACTTGGGATTATTTCTTTGTACGAGTTGTGAATTTTTGTGGGTTTTTTCCCCCTTCAAACTGTTTCTTTTCCTAATCTGATGCCTTAACAGTTAAGTTCCCCCACTCTGCCTCCCATAGCAGATTGGAGGGCTCAATGCCTCTTTTTGGGGGGGCGTGAGATCGAAGGGGTTAACCAGTCCCGTCTAGTCCCTCCTTCCCCAAACCCAAGCCCTTGCAAATTGGGAGGAGCCTATCTACAGGTATGGCTGATCTGCAGCCTGGCCTCTGCCCCCTCCCATATGGGAACCACATGTTGTTCCTTACTTGGTTCCCTTGCTCTGTCTCTAGGGCAGAAAGCTTTGTGGCATCCTTCCCCTGTGGTAGCCCCTTGGCACTTTCTGCACATCTAGTACAGGGGATTGGCCTGAGTTGCCAGTTGACCGCCCAAGGGCCTTCAGGACCTTTTCCCTGCCCTAAGGGAGAAGTGCTGGGGTTTGCCACAGCTGGAAGTGTGTGCCAGTTGTGCCCAGGTGAGAGCCTGGAATACTAGTGTGGCCAGACAGAGCCAGCCCCCTTGCCTCTGGTAGACTAGAAGCTTCCCTCTGCTGTAGTAGGTGCAGCCTGCAGTGCTTCCTCCCTTGCCAGCTCCTTAGCCTGTGTGCACCCTCATCCTTTCTGGGCCCCTGCGGTCCCAGACACCTCCTCTTCACTTGAGGGCAGGACCAAGTGTGAAGCAATTGACCCCACCCCCACCCTCCATCTCACACTCAACACGGAGGCCAAAAGCAGACAGGAGATCATGGTCTGGGGTAATTCATGGAACTAGGGTTGGAGCCAGACTCTCCTGGCAGCTTCCCAGCACCTCCCCTGCCAGGCTGAGTGTACAGGCCTGCCTCTGCACCTCTGAACATACCCTTCCAAGTTGACTTTGAAAGACTGGTGGGTTGTTCAACCCTCTGAGTTCCTTGCCTCTCCGCACCTGTTGCCTCCAGGGACTAGGGCTTTTCTCAGGGCCTCTGCAGAAAGGGGGTGGGAGGGTTGGTGATGCTTATGCCAGCTCAGGCAGCTGGTGGCAGAAATTAGCCCAGTCAGGTAAGGCCAAGGGCAGGGGTGCAACTTGTGGTATAGTAGAGCTGTTTTTAGAGACGACTTCTACAGGAGCAGCAGCACCTTCTCCATTTCCTGGACCGCCTTTCTTCTACTAAGGCCTGGAGCAGACTTTCTGGCAGGGAAATAAAATTTTAGAAAGTAGGGCAGGGGCCTAATTGCAGTCAGCTCTAAAGTCCATTGCAGGCCTGTCTTGGCTTCCTGGGATCTCTGCATACTCATTAGTTTATTGAAAACAATTGACTACTTTGGTGTTAATTTGTTTCCATTTTGCAGAGGTTGGGTGTTAGAAGGTAACCAGGCTTCTAAAAGTCCCCTTACAGCAAAGGCCTGGAATCCTCCAAGAGTAATAGTTTTCAAATTGTTCTGATCAATTTTTAGGTGACTTGAGAGAGCAACTAGCAGACCCTACTATACCCTCTTCCTCACCTTAATGGGTGTGCCCCTTGTCTTGATGGTCTCAGGGTGTCGTGTATTTGGCAGGCTCGGAATTCTAGCAGTCTTCTGCTATTCTGCCTGTCCGTCCTTCCCTACAACTGCCTCTTCTGCTTACCTTGGTTTTGTTTTCAAAGAGGCCTGAGTTCATTATCTGTTCATGCCTCTGCCAATAGCCCTTTGCTTTTGTGGGATCAGTTCTTACCTCTTCGAAGAGTATGCTCTTCTAGAAACTCCTCTTTGAAAGAGAAAATAAATTCAGGGTGTGTGTGCACTGGGCTGTCTTGGTCAGCTCTTCAGTTTGCAGGAGGTGGAGTATAATTCACTCGGGTTACCCATTGGAATTACTGGGTTTGTGTGTGCTAGAGAGTTCGTGCATACAAGACTTTGTCCCTTTAGAGGCAGTCATCATGGGGGCTGAGAGACCCTTTACTGGCTTTTGATAGGTCTTGGGGTTACAACTGTCTGTGAATGAATTTTATTTCTATGAGGCAATTCAGATTACTCAAAAGGCCTCAAGCTTGCTGGGCAGTGGTGGCGCGCGCACGCCTTTAATCCCAGCACTTGGGAGGCAGAGGCAGTCGGATTTCTGAGTTTGAGGCCAGCCTGGTCTACAGAGTGAGTTCCAGGACAGCTAGGGCTATACAGAGAAACCCTGTCTCGAAAAACAAAACAACAAAAAGAGGCCTCAAGCTCAAGGATCCACACAGACTGAGGTGAAATGTTCTGTGGTGAAGCTGTGTGTGTGTGTGTGATTGTTCCCTTTTCCAGGCTGCTTTTGCCTTGGTGGATACTGGAAATCACCAACCTGCAGGGTTGGGTGTGGACCCTGAGCAAGTTCTGTACCACTGAGCCACATCTCCAGACCCTCCATAGACCTGGGGGGGGGTACAAAATATTTAATGGAACTTCCTACATGTAAGGAAATTGGAGTCTAAGAGAGGAAGTGACAGGTCCAAACTAGGGCACTGCACTGGCTACTGGTAGAAGTGGGCCAGAGTGTGAACCTTAATAGACTGAAAACCACCACCTTAGAAACACATCCATTTACCTCTGTCCCTATACCTAAATTTCATTAAGTCAAGTGGGTATCACATCTGTTCCCCCATCAATTTCTGGCCCTCCTTAACAGGCTCACTTCCTTATCGGCAAGTTTGTTTTGCTGATTAGGAAATAGCCTATTTACTCTTCAAAGCTCTGTCTTAAATGTTTTTTACTCAGAGAAACCTTCAGTTATGTCCTTCATCACCCTTGCTCTGCTTCCAAGGGTTGGGCATGGTTCCAAGCTCTTTCAGTTTTTTTCCTATCAGTGGAGAGGTTCACAGCTTACCTACTAGATGGGAAATAGGAGGCCTGGGCCTTCTCTGTGCCTTCCAGCATGGGGCCTGCCTGCCACATCAGAAATGTTTTTGGTATAACCAATCGCACTGAAAGGAAGATAATTCCTTGAACTCTATCGTGTTTTCTGCTGCATGGCTATCATCAGTCTATATGGTGATGGGGAAACAAGCTATAAATGAATTTGGGCTAAAGAAAGAGAAGGTAAGCCGGGCGGTGGTGGCGCACACCTTTAATCCCAGCACTTGGGAGGCAGAGGCAGTCGGATTTCTGAGTTCGAGGCCAGCCTGGTCTACAGAGTGAGTTCCAGGACAGCCAGGGCTATACAGAGAAACCCTGTCTCGAAAAACCAAAACAAAACAAAAAAAAGAAGAAAGAGAAGGTAAAAAGTATCTCATACTGGAGCCTGCAAACAGGTGGCCTCCTTTCCTCAAATTCCTCTCTTCTGGTGAGGGTCAGGCTAGAGGGCTAAGGACATGCCAGGGCATATCAATAGTGAGAGACCCAGGCAGTGGGTTACATGATACACCACTGGGTGTTAGAGGGCAAGGAAAGCAGCTGTTAGATTTATAAGGTGGAGAGAGGAATTCATATACTTACACACTTGTAGGGAGTAAAACGGGGATTTGTAGGTGAGATGGTATGTTATCTCCATACCAAGAATTTTACTTCCTAACAGACTTCCTGATGGGAGTTGGGAAGGGCTTCTTCTGCCTTGCCAGAAGAAACATTCTAGAGCCAGATTAGTACTTCTTAGGTCTCATAGGAGAAGCTGGTAATCTGGGAGGCTCAGGAACATCATAGTTAACTTCTGGCCTGGTGGTCATCTGGGTCAGTGGATCAGCATGATAGGAAAGCTGTAGGCCAATCCCATTTGCCATTTAATTTTTACCCAAGAGTTGCCTCATGATTCCCTACCTATTACTTTAACATAAGAGTTCTCAGTTGAGTGAGGAACTGCCCATATATGAGACAGATAGTGAATCAGGCTCGTGTCCCTGCTGGATTTTACTGTGAATTCAGATGAGTTTCTCTTCCTGTGCTCCCCACCCCAGGGTCTTTTTTTGTGTGTGTGTTTTGTTTTGAAACAAGGTTAGGCTAACCCTGAACTCCTGATCGCCACCTTTTAAGTGCTGGGATTACAGGTAACTGAGGGCTAGATTGAGACTGCCTCAGAGAATCCTGCTAGCTTTTCTTTTGTAATTTTGGACGAAAGTCCTTCCAAGGATTGTTTACTTGTCCAAGGTTGATTTACTTCAGTATTGGAAGCTCCTACATTTCTTGATTCATGTTTGCACTAGGAATAAGAAAATAGGTCAAGAGCCAACATTTGGGTGTGTGGACACATGCATGCATGTACACAAGCAGTACAAGCTGCATCACTCCAGCAGAAAAATGGCAGAGAGGATGGGGGCTATAGTATTGATTGTCTTTAGTGACTCAGCTAAACCACTGAGGAGTCTTAATAGCTAGCTAGCTGTTCCAGGTGCACCTGGGGAGACCCTCCTCTCAAAAGCAAAGCAGGGTACGGTTGTTACCTATATACAGCCTTTTTACAAATGGTGTTGGGGGAGAGAACTTTGTTCTCAAAATGTATCTGAATAAAGGGGACAGAAAAAGCAAAACAAGCAGTTTCCCTCTTTTTCTCAGTACATTGGTCTCCAAATCAAACATCTATTTCTTGTAGAAATATACCTGCCTCCCTGCATGGACAGTATGGCTGAGAAGCAGATGAACAGCTTAGACTGATCCACAGAGGCCTCCTGTGTCTCCTCCTCCAAAATATAACCTGACTTCCTTCCCGTCTTCTTCTAGGAGGGAGGACTGGTCTTGACTTTGAAGCCCTTCCCCATCATAGCTGCAGCCCCCCTCACTAGATCCAGGACTTGAAATCCTTCCTACAGCCTTCTCAGATCTCACCTGACTGACATACAGTAGGTGGTACCCCAGTCTTAGAGATTTGGGGGATGGATTGACTGACTGACTGACTGACTTATCCTTTAAATATGTGGCATGGTAGAAGAATATGTTTGCCTATAACATTACCAGAACCCTTGCTACTGCAGATGTGAAGGACAGGCACCTAGGTGAAAGAGCAAACTGCCAGGCAAGCTAGGGAAAGGCTCCATTCCAACTGAACGCTTGACCACTGTCTTGTACTATCTTAGGGGAACCAGGAGGTACCTGAGGGATGATCTCCCTTTCTTGGTGACCTCGCTATTTTAGCCCAAGTTAGAAGTGTGGGGGGCTCCTGAGAAGTTTCTGTCACAGAAGCTCTGCTTTAGTTGCCACTTAAGGTTTGAGAACATTCTGGATATGGGGGAGGGGTACTGCCACAGAGCCTGTGGACCATCATCTAGGAGATAAGTGAGTGGGGAAGTCAAAGCAGAGGCAGCTAGGCTTGGGAGGTCAGCAGAGTCTTATTCTTGCCTCAGGTTCTTCTGAGGCAGCAATCTCTTCCCTGTCTGTCAGCTGCCTGCATGAAGGGAAGGCATCAGCCTATAACAGTTTAAGTTTCCCAGGACCACCTACAGGTGCAGCTGTAGGCTCTGGCTGTCTTAACTCTGCAGTACAGAGAGAATCATGGGCCTTAGAGGGCATTTGGGGTATAGAAATTTAATGATCATGTAAACAGTCAGGGAAGGAAGTCATGGTCTACTAGATTGCCAGACGCTGATGAATTATCTTGGCTGGTGACTTTACTGCTTTCTGAGATGACCTTAATGAGAACTTGTGCAATAGTTTGAAAGCCAGGGTTCTGCAGATGGTTTGAATAAAATGGCCAGAGATTTGGGATAATGCTGTTAAAGGATAGTGTGCTGGCTCAGCCCCTTCTCTTGGCTACATTTGAAGACAAGGAGTTGGAGAGTACAAGACTTAAGAAGAATGGGGAGGCAGGGGACATTTGGGTTCTAGAAGCTCCTGGATGTTTTGACTTTTGTTTCCTTTTCTTCAGCGACCAACCAGTGGTTCATCCCAGCTGTCAGAGGGGATATCCCTCCAGGGTGTGCAGCCTATGGCTTTGTGTGTGATGGAACTCGCCTACTGGTGTTTGGTGGAATGGTAGAGTATGGAAAATACAGCAACGACCTCTATGAACTCCAGGTAATAACATAAGAGCCTCTGTGGGCCTAGGTTATTATACTGCCTCAGGCCCTGTGGAACTCTCCATAGTGTTCCTTGTACTGGTGTGTGAGCTAAGGCAGGAGAGGCAGTGTAAGGGATTACTTAAGAGTCTACCAAGGCTGTTCTCTTCTTGAACAGTGTCAGGAGAGAACAGGACCAAATTCTTTAGAACTTACATGTTTCAGCAATGTGCTCTTTCACTCTGGACAGTCTTCTCCTTATGCCACAAATAGCCCCTGGCCCCCAACCAATGACCTTCTCATCTCTTAAATATTATTGATTTTGTAGGCAAGTCGCTGGGAATGGAAGAGACTGAAGGCAAAGACACCCAAAAATGGGCCTCCTCCATGTCCTAGGCTTGGACATAGCTTCTCCCTTGTGGGCAACAAATGTTACCTGTTTGGGGGTTTGGCTAATGATAGTGAGGACCCCAAGAACAACATTCCGAGGTGAGGCTTTGTTCTATTTTTGTCCCTGAAGAATCCCACCAGGGTGGGTCTACTTTCCCCAGGTATAAGACTCATCTGAAATTCTAAAGTTGGTTGTGCCAGCTGTCTCCATGTTTCTCTCCTGTGCTGGGTTGTTAATTAGAGAATAGATTCAATGCCCTTTCTAGAAGTTCTCAGCTTTGAGATCTGAAACCCCAGGTAGGTCTTGTAGGAGAAAACTGGGCAAGAGGTAGAATTGGCCTGGTCTCTATCCCTCAGACTGAAATTAGACTTGATTGCTTCCTTTGCAGCTTCTGCTTCTTAAACATTTTCTGGTGGGTATTTTCTAAGGCCTGTGGCCAAAGCTCCTAATATGTGGAGGTAGTTCCAAGATGACACTCCCTTACTCTAGGGAGGCCCACATATAATGCCTTGTATTGCATACATGATTGCCTAAAAGGACCTGCCACTGAGTCTGAACTTAAGGCTACCATCAGAGTTTTGCACATACATCCTTTCCATTGCTCCAATTGGACTCAACCTGTAAGCTTCTAGCAGTCTCTTTTGGGGGCAAGGATAGTAGCGTTTGTGGTTTCTATGACCTTTGGTCTTTTGTGTTCTAATCTACTGCTCACTGAGATAACCCGGTAAAGCCTGTGGTACATGTGTTCAAGGTTTGCTATGACTGATCTTCCTCAGGTACCTGAATGACTTATATATTCTCGAACTACGGCCAGGCTCTGGAGTGGTAGCTTGGGACATCCCCATCACTTACGGTGTCCTGCCTCCACCCCGGGAGTCACATACTGCTGTGGTCTACACTGAAAAAGATAACAAGAAATCCAAGCTGGTGATCTATGGAGGAATGAGTGGCTGCAGGCTAGGGGATCTTTGGACCCTGGATATTGGTAAGAAATTGCTGCTATTCCAGTAGCTTCAGAGCAAATACAATCTTCTGGATAATTGGCCTTGAGTGGCTGTTGTTGCCAGGTGAGGTGGGGCTCATGGGAAGCTAGTGTCCCCCTTAGCCTTATCAGTGGATAGAAAACAGTAAGGTTTGGTACACTACTATATGGACTTTGGAGAGAATAAGGGGAGAGTACAATCTTTTCACGATGGAATTCCCTCAATCTAGGTAGAGTCCTGACTCACTTTTCAGTGAACAGTCAGAGTTTTTGTCTAGTGCTAAAGTGACATGGAGGTAAATATGCTCTACAGGGAGTGCAAAGGAGAGGTTGGAGTGAGCTTGATACCCTTATGTCATCCCTGAGAGTGATGCTGCCTTAAAGCAGGTGCCTGGTACTTTGGGGAAGAAACCTCCTTGCCCAGATCATCTGAACAGCTTTAGAAATGCTGAAATATAGTTGTTAGGGCAATAAATTAGAGGGCTTGGCGAGGGATTTAGGAAGGCAGAGATGCAGTTGTTATGTTGGTTTAGGGCCCAGTTGGCCCAAGTACTGGGACTATGGTGTCTGATCCAGCATAAGTAATTTCTCCATTTCTTCTGCAGAGACACTGACATGGAATAAGCCCAGCCTTAGTGGGGTGGCACCCCTTCCTCGCAGCCTCCACTCTGCAACCACCATAGGAAACAAGTAAGTGTCTCCTCTTCCCTGACCTGAACTGCCCGAGTCCTGAAAATTTCTCAAGTCGGTTTTGTCAACTGTCCCCCAATCCCAAAGAGGCCTTTTTCTGGCTGGTCTGGCATTAAACAGCCCTGTACCCCCCTTATTGAACATTAAAAAGACAGATTAAGTGTAGAGGGACTGCATATAATGCAGCTTGAGAACTTTTCTTTACCTGTAAGGCTACCCCATCATGAGTATAGGTGGTGCAGCTCCTCATTGAATCAGGATTCTTTGTGAATGCCAAGGTCTAGGGTCCATGGAGGCACCTTAGATGAACAAAGTAATGCTCTCCTTATAAAGAAATGACAGTTTTTTGTAAGAGTGAACCATCGGGTAGAAAGTGCCATATTAAATAACTTCATGCATCCTCAGGGACTCCTGGGGCCTTCTAGGAAACTGAGTATGTTCAGAACTTTCTGGGTAAAAGAGGTAGCCTCTAGCTTGGTACTTCTCTTCAATCCTCTCTTGCTTTTTCTTCATCCTCCTAGAATGTATGTATTTGGTGGCTGGGTGCCCCTTGTCATGGACGATGTCAAAGTGGCTACACACGAGAAGGAGTGGAAGTGTACCAACACACTGGCTTGTCTCAACCTGGGTATGGCCTTCTCAGGCTTAGAGTGGCCAGGGAGGGGGTGGCCCTGGGAAATTTTTAGGATGTGTAAGAAGCAAACTCGGGCTCATGGATATTACCAGAAATATCCAATGGGTAGAAAACACTCAGGCAGTACTCCTTTTGGTTTGAATAGGCTCTTCATATGTGCCTGATAACAGTAAGTGGAAAAGCACATATAGTGCAGAGGAAGTGTTTCTTGTATTCTATATGTAGGAACTCTTCTATATAGGCAATAGCTCTAAGACCTTAGCCTGCCATACACAGGGCCAAGTAGCCATTTTCCCTTACTGTCTTGAAGATCATTTCATACCCATGCATAGTGAGTATCATATTCTTTAATATGGTGCACAGCTTTAATTCTAGCATCTAGGAGGCAGAAGCAGATGGATCTCTTGAGTTCAAGACCAGCCAGGTCTTAGTAAAATCCCATCTTGAAAACAAAATACCAAACAAAAAATTTGAGTTGCTTTAATTTTGACTGTGGTAACACACATTTTCTTAAGATCTTTACTTGATTTGTTTTATGTATTTTGTTTCCCTTTGCCTACCTCTTAGGATTGTTTTATTTTTATGTTCAAGGAGTTATCTTCCAAATAATTTCCCAATATATTGCTTAATTTCTTTTTATGCTCTTTTTGCCTCATTTTTGTTTACTTTTAATTTGATACTCCAATAACTTGACCTTCCCCAACAATGAAAGAATAGAGAGCAACTTGGGAGTTGGGGAACAGGTTCCTTTTGTCCTCTGTGTGACCCCTAGCACCTGTACACCTCTAGATACCATGGCCTGGGAAACTATCCTGATGGATACACTGGAGGACAACATTCCTCGAGCTCGAGCAGGCCACTGTGCTGTTGCCATCAATACTCGTCTGTACATTTGGAGTGGCCGTGATGGCTACCGCAAGGCTTGGAACAACCAGGTCTGCTGCAAGGATTTGTGGTATCTGGAGACAGGTAAGATACAGGACCACTGCCATTCCCCACTGCTGAAGCCTCTCTATTCCCTATCTTAACAGTTTCTTTGTTGTATTACAGAAAAGCCACCACCCCCAGCCCGAGTACAGCTAGTACGAGCCAACACCAACTCACTGGAGGTTAGCTGGGGTGCAGTAGCAACAGCCGACAGTTACCTTCTACAACTCCAGAAATATGACATTCCTGCCACAGCTGCTACGGCTACCTCCCCTACTCCCAATCCAGTCCCATCTGTGCCTGCCAACCCTCCCAAGAGCCCTGCGCCAGCAGCAGCTGCACCTGCTGTACAGCCACTAACCCAAGTAGGCATCACACTTGTGCCCCAGGCTGCCACTGCACCCCCAAGCACAACCACCATCCAGGTCTTGCCTACAGTGCCAGGCAGCTCCATTTCTGTGCCCACTGCAGCCAGGACTCAAGGTAAGCCATGAGGGTCAAAGGCATTTGTGTAGGGTTTAGTCACTGGAGACATTCATTGCCTGAATAGTGTTCTGTCTTGCTGATGGGATGGTATTGGGGGTATAGAAAAGTCACATAAAGAATATGCAGGTCAAGAAATAATTCAAGTCTGCCTTAAATTTGACAGAGTAGTGGGATATGTGTAGAAGAGTACCTCCTGATGATCAACCCTTTTTCTCATCAGGTGTCCCTGCTGTTCTCAAAGTGACTGGTCCTCAAGCTACAACAGGAACACCACTGGTTACCATGAGACCTGCAAGCCAGGCTGGGAAAGCTCCTGTCACTGTAACTTCCCTGCCTGCCAGTGTGCGAATGGTTGTACCCACACAGAGTGCCCAGGGGACGGTGAGGATTTGTTACTGAGTGGGGCTTTATGGTGACCCAATAGTATAAACAGAGTTCTCATGTGGTCTTTAAAATACACACACACACACACACACACACACACACACACGCTCGAGTTTGTGTATCATGTATCTCCCTGGGGCTAGGGGTGTGGCTTACTTGATAGAATGTTTGCCTAGCATTCATGAAGCCCACTAGCTCCCATCATATGTTCTTGTTTGTCAGATGCTACTGCATTAAAAATGCCACATGCTTTTAATCCCAGCACTCATGAGACAGGAGTTCAAGGAAAGCCAGGGCTATACAAAGAAACCCTGTCTCAAAAAGCCAGAACAGGGGCAGGGGGGTTCTTGACATTTTCATTGTTTTCCTGATTTTTGGAAGGTGGAGGGAAAAAATCTAGTTTAGCTGGGTTTGACCCAAGTCTGTGAGAATGAGAATTTAACTCTCAAAGGTTGTGTTTGGTTTTGGGTTTTGACAGAGTTGTACTCTATAGCCCAGGCTATGTACTATTTAAGAAATTGTCCTGCCTCAGCCTCCTGAGTCTGGAATTATAAACATGAACCATACCCAGCAGTGATGTTGATAATGTTGTATGTGAAACCCATTACTGCTTCGTGTATACTGAGATATGTAAAATGAATTATTTTTATTATAAATGTATGCAGTAAATTAATCCAGTGGCTGTATTTCTTTACCTTAGCTAGTCCCCAATAACCACACACAGAGGCTAAGATTTATTAAAATTGCTTTGAGCCAGATACTGAGCAATTATTACTCCATTCTAAACCTCCAAGCTAATCAGGCTTCCTCCCAGACAATATTTGCATATTGCTTGCATTTTTTTTTCGTCCTTTCTTGTTCTAGCTCTCTTCTCCTAATGCCTCCTCATAGTGGGATAGAGAAATTAGCATTTGAAATAATATAAGGGGGTGGCTGATGTGATGGCTCAGCAGTCAAGAGCACTGACTGCATTTCCAGAGGTCCTGAGTTCAATTCCCAGCAACCACATGGTGTCTCACAACCATCTGTAATGGGTTCTGATGCCCTCTTCTGGTGTGTCTGAAAACAGCTACAGTGTACTCACATACATAAAATGAATAAATAAATCTTTTTTAAAAAGAAATAATATAAGAGTAACCTTTACACAGTATACAAAAACATTTTACCAACAGAGATATATCTCCAGTTCTGGCTATGGTCTTTTTATTTATCTTTATAGTGCTGGGGGCAGAACCCTGTTAGGGAAGAACTTCACAAACTAACTATACCCCTAGCTTTTACTTTTGAACCAGGGTATCACTAAGCTGTGATCTTTCTGCTTCAGCCTCCTGAGAAGCTACAATTACAAGCTATGCCCCAGGCCTAGCTTGACTATGATTCTTTGGTTAAAAATCTACTCAGGGGTTAGGGGTGTAGCTCAATTGGTTGAGTACTTGCTTAGCCTGCATGAAGCTCTAGGCTCAGTTTCTAACATTGCATTAGCCAGATGTGTAATTGCATGTCAGTAATCCCAACATTTGAGAGGTGGAAGCAGGAAGATCAGAAATTGAAGGTCACCTTTAGTGTGAGTTTGAGGCTAGCCTGAGCTATATTGGACCCTTTCTCAAAATAAAGGAGCACTTGGCAAGCACCTACCTACTTATCATTTGCACTAGGAGAGAGGAGCCAATTAGGAAAAAATGGGATGCTTCTGAGCCCTCCTGGCAGGTTCTGAAATGGTCATTGAATTGGGAAGCAGGTGGAACCCTTGCAGCTCACATGCTTTCTGTCCACCACAGGTGATTGGCAGCAACCCACAGATGAGTGGGATGGCTGCATTGGCTGCTGCTGCTGCTGCCACACAGAAAATCCCTCCTTCCTCAGCACCCACAGTGCTAAGTGTCCCAGCAGGCACCACCATTGTCAAGACAGTGGCTGTGACACCTGGCACAACCACTCTTCCAGCCACTGTGAAGGTGGCCTCCTCCCCTGTCATGGTGAGCATTTATCTTCTGGGTCTGGTGGTTGAACAAGCAGTTCTAGGTTTGGTCCAACCTTTCGGGCCATTGGTTTATAATCAGTACTGGCATGGGTCATGGAACATACAGTTACCTTTAAGGGTGTACAGCCTTAGATTAGACCTGTGGAGAGGTCTGGCTGTTCTCTTGCTGCTTAGCCAACCAAGCTAGATGGACAGGTGGTCAGCAGAGCTACAGCCATTATGTTGCTGCTATGTTCATTACTCATCTCTGCTTCTCCAGGTGAGCAACCCAGCCACTCGAATGCTAAAGACTGCAGCTGCCCAAGTAGGGACATCTGTGTCCTCTGCTGCCAACACATCTACCCGCCCTATCATCACAGTACACAAATCGGGGACTGTAACAGTGGCCCAGCAAGCCCAGGTGGTGACCACAGTGGTAGGCGGAGTCACCAAGACCATCACCCTAGTGAAGAGTCCCATCTCTGTCCCAGGAGGCAGTGCTCTGGTGAGTGACAGAAACCATCTGTGTGTGACAGTTGCCAGGTTATGGTGGGTGCCACTGGTGACTCGCTATCTTGGGCCAATTCCAGTATAGTTCTAGCCCAGTCCATGCCCTTGTTTGGTTCCAGATTACTGCCTGCTCCATCCTTTCCTTTTTAGATTTCCAATCTGGGAAAAGTGATGTCAGTGGTCCAGACCAAACCAGTTCAGACTTCAGCAGTGACAGGCCAAGCATCTACAGGCCCTGTGACTCAGATCATCCAGGTGAGCATTTACTTACTCTCTCTCAAAAGTCATTCCTAAACTCCAGGCCCACGGGGATGAATAGACACTGGGAAACAAGGACAGAAGATACCATGAGTACAAGTGGCTCAAAGGCCTTGCTGATACCGCAGCACCCGCAGTATTCAGAACATCTCTGTGTTAGAGTAGCTAAACCTAATATTCCTTTCTGGCAGTAGTTCCTGTTAATTCATAACTTCTTCCTTTCAGACCAAAGGACCCCTGCCAGCAGGAACTATCCTGAAGCTGGTGACATCAGCAGATGGCAAGCCCACAACCATCATCACCACCACACAGGCTAGTGGGGCAGGGACCAAGCCCACTATCCTGGGCATCAGTAGTGTCTCTCCCAGCACCACGAAACCTGGCACAACTACCATCATTAAGACCATTCCCATGTCGGCCATTATCACCCAGGCAGGCGCCACAGGTAAACATACAGCTTTCAAAAGGCCCTTGCTGTTGAGTATAAATCCAAAAGATGAGATGCCCTCATAGCTTATTTTCTCTGAACCCTTCCCCAATGCAGGTGTTACCAGCAGTCCTGGCATTAAGTCCCCCATCACAATTATCACCACCAAAGTGATGACTTCAGGAACAGGAGCACCTGCCAAAATAATCACTGCTGTCCCCAAGATTGCTACTGGCCATGGGCAACAAGGAGTGACCCAGGTGAGGCACACATGGCCCACATGTGTCCTAACAGGCCTGAGGGGCAGCACAGTCCAGTCAGCCTGAAAGTGACATTGGTGGCACTTTGCTCTGGTGTTCCAGGTGGTGCTAAAGGGGGCCCCTGGACAGCCAGGCACCATCCTCCGCACTGTGCCCATGAGTGGCGTCCGCCTGGTCACCCCTGTCACCGTCTCCGCTGTCAAGCCAGCTGTCACCACATTGGTTGTGAAGGGCACCACAGGTGTGTAGCCCGCAGGCCAGGTCCTCAGCAATGGCTGGGGGAGGATAACAGGTGCTCTCTCCAGAGCCTTCTGTCATTGGTGGCCACATGGCAGGGCTCCCATTCCCTAGCCTTCTCCAGAGAGACAGGCTGCTAGATAGAAAGTGGTAGCAATAGGCCTCATTCTACCTCTGCCTTTCCCTCCATTTAGGTGTTACAACACTAGGCACAGTGACAGGCACTGTCTCCACCAGCCTTGCCGGAGCTGGGGCACATAGCACCAGTGCTTCCTTGGCTACACCTATCACTACCTTGGGCACCATTGCTACGCTCTCAAGCCAGGTGATCAACCCTACTGCTATCACAGTGTCAGCTGCACAGACTACACTAACAGCTGCTGGTGGGCTCACCACACCCACAATCACAATGCAGGTAAGTGGGTCCTAAGGATGTACCACCATACACAGCAGCACTCCCACACGAAAGTAACCTTTCTCCCTTTTCCAGATTCAGTTCTGTAGACCTGTGTAGTTATGACAGCTTTTCCACACATGGTGTGATCTGTCTCAGTCTTTCCTGGTGACACATGTGAGCTGTGTCCAGTTTGTAGACACTAGGATCTCATAATGTGCATATAGTATTTTTTCTCTTGTCATGTTTTTTTTCCTCTCAAACTGAACAAGAAGTTGTAAGGGATCTATTTTACTGGCCTTTGGACACTGTCTAGAAAAAGGCTTGACTGTAGCACAATCCCTTCTCCTGCCCCAGCTCTGCCTCATTGTCCCTTCATCTTCGTCTCTAAGTAAGTCATTGTTTTGAGATCATGGGCCAAGCTTATATTAGATTTGCCTTGGATAGTTAGCAGAGTTGGTGGTTCCAGTCAACATGGGCAAGCATAGGATAGTAGGAGAGTCAAAAGCAAAATAACATAGTTCAGGCACTAACTCCTCTGTTCTCTTTCCCCAGCCTGTCTCCCAGCCTACCCAGGTAACTCTGATCACAGCACCCAGCGGGGTTGAGGCCCAGCCTGTACATGACCTTCCAGTGTCCATTTTGGCCTCACCTACTACAGAGCAGCCCACAGCAACAGTTACCATCGCTGACTCAGGCCAGGGTGATGTACAGCCCGGCACTGTGACACTGGTGTGTTCCAACCCACCCTGTGAAACTCATGAAACAGGCACCACCAACACAGCTACCACCACTGTTGTGGCTAACCTTGGGGGACATCCTCAGCCTACCCAGGTGCAGTTTGTTTGTGACAGACAAGAGGCAGCTGCTTCACTTGTGACCTCAGCTGTGGGACAACAGAATGGTAATGTGGTCCGTGTCTGTTCAAACCCCCCCTGTGAGACTCATGAGACAGGCACCACCAACACTGCTACAACAGCCACCTCCAACATGGCTGGGCAGCATGGCTGCTCGAACCCCCCCTGCGAGACTCATGAGACAGGCACCACCAGCACTGCCACTACAGCTATGTCCAGCATGGGCACTGGGCAGCAGCGAGACACTCGTCGTGCCACTAACACCCCCACTGTAGTGCGGATCACTGTGGCTCCTGGGGCATTGGAGAGAGCCCTGGGTACTGTGAAGCCTCAGTGCCAAACTCAGCAGACCAACATGACCAGCACGACCATGACTGTGCAGGCCACTGGAGCTCCATGCTCAGCTGGCCCACTGCTCAGGCCAAGTGTGGCACTGGAGGCTGGGAGCCACAGCCCTGCCTTTGTGCAGCTAGCCCTTCCAAGTGTCAGAGTTGGGCTAAGTGGCCCCAGCAGCAAGGACATGCCCACAGGGCGCCAACCAGAGACATATCATACTTACACAACCAATACCCCAACCACAGCCCGATCTATCATGGTTGCTGGGGAGCTTGGTGCAGCTCGGGTGGTCCCCACATCTACATATGAGAGCCTCCAGGCAAGCTCTCCTAGCAGTACCATGACTATGACAGCCCTTGAGGCACTGCTGTGCCCTTCGGCTTCTGTGACCCAAGTCTGCTCCAACCCACCATGTGAGACCCATGAGACAGGTACCACCAACACCGCCACTACCTCCAATGCAGGCAGTGCTCATCGAGTATGCTCCAACCCGCCTTGTGAGACTCATGAGACGGGCACCACACACACAGCTACCACTGCCACATCAAATGGAGGTACAGGCCAGCCTGAGGGTGGACAACAGCCTGCCAGTGGGCATCCCTGCGAGACACACCAGACAACTTCCACTGGCACCACTATGTCAGTCAGTGTTGGTGCCCTGATTCCTGATGCCACTCCTTCTCATGGAACCCTGGAGTCTGGCTTAGAGGTGGTAGCAGTGCCCACTGTCACCTCCCAGGCTGGTGCCACATTGCTGGCTTCTTTCCCAACACAGAGGGTATGCTCCAACCCTCCTTGTGAGACCCACGAGACAGGTACCACGCACACAGCCACCACTGTCACCTCTAACATGAGCTCAAACCAAGGTGAGTATAAGTGTCCAGTAGAGGAGAGTACAGATATTCTGTGTTAGCCACAGCAGAGGGAGGTGGTCCTAGAAAACCTATGGTGGTAAAAGCAAGTGGAAGTCAACTGGTCTCTCCTTTGACACATCCATAGACCCTCCACCAGCTGCCAGTGACCAAGGAGAGGTGGCAAGCACCCAAGGTGACAGCGCAAATATCACCAGTGCCAGTGCTATCACTACAACTGTGTCTTCTAGAGCAGTGACCACTGTGACACAGTCTACACCAGTTCCAGGTCCCTCTGTGCCGGTAAGCCTCAGCCCAAAGGATCCCTTCTGTGGCCTTTTGCCAACTATGTCTTTCATCTGTGCTGTCCATAAATGGACACTAGATGTCGCCCTTGTACCAGCATAGTATTGCTCCTTGGTGGTTCTTCCAGACCATAAAAGGGCAATCTTGGTGCCTGGGAGGCAGGAGGCAGGCAATCCCTTAGAGGTGCTGTGGCACTTTATCATCTGCTGTTGGTTTCCTTCTTGGCTATTCCCCATTATTTGTCTCTAAAGTGAAGTCTTTTGGGCATGAGTTGAAACTTCACCCAGGGGCTTTCCTCTTGCCATACCCTTGCTGATACTTATTGACTCACCTTCCCCATTTACATTTATCATGGGGTAAAAAGTAGCCAGCCTGTCATGGATGATACCATAGGCCTACAGGGAAAAAACAAAGGCTATCTTGTTTTTTGGCCCCACTGCCTGGTTCTAGCCTTTGTCTCCCCTCCTCTCCCTCTGACGGGGGCTTCTCTCCCTTTCTAGAACATCTCATCATTGACTGAGACTACCCCAGGGGCTCTGACTTCTGAAGTCCCCATCCCAGCCACGATAACAGTGACCATAGCCAACACAGAAACTTCTGACATGCCCTTCTCTGCTGTTGACATCCTGCAGCCCCCAGAGGAACTCCGGGTCTCACCAGGGCCTCGCCAACAGCTGCCTCCACGGCAACTCCTGCAGTCTGCCTCCACGTCCCTGATGGGGGAGTCCGCTGAGGTCCTGTCAGCCTCCCAGACCCCTGAGCTCCAGGCCGCCGTGGATCTGAGCAGCACTGGAGACCCAGCTTCAGGCCAGGAGCCTACCACCTCTGCAGTTGTGGCCACTGTGGTGGTCCAACCACCCCCACCCACACAGTCTGAAGTAGACCAGTTATCACTTCCCCAAGAGCTGATGGCTGAAGCCCAGGCGGGCACCACAACCCTTATGGTAACAGGGCTCACTCCAGAGGAGCTGGCAGTGACTGCTGCTGCTGAAGCAGCTGCTCAAGCTGCAGCCACTGAAGAAGCCCAAGCCTTAGCCATCCAGGCTGTGCTCCAGGCGGCACAGCAGGCTGTCATGGGTAGGTATCAGCTGGGAGCTTTGAGGGATAGGCCCCTTAGGATGAGTGACAGCCTTACAGAGAGGGCTAAGGCACCATTTGGGGATAGCTTGAAATGAGATCTGCTTCCTGTGAGTGTGTACAATGTAACTCAACAGAGGCCTGTATAGGACAAGTAGTCCAGGAAGTTGACATAGGGCCTAGTGGTGAGGGGTGTAACAAGATGTGGGCAGGATGAAAGCTTAGGAAAACACCGTTGCTGTCCATTGGGCCAGGCATACTTGTGTTCCTTTTGAATAGAAGTTTTCTTGGTCCTGGAGCAGGCACTGGGGAGCCCATGGATACATCTGAAGCAGCAGCAGCAGTGACACAAGCAGAACTGGGTCACCTTTCAGCTGAAGGCCAAGAGGGTCAGGCTACCACCATACCCATTGTGCTGACACAGCAGGAGCTTGCAGCCCTGGTGCAGCAGCAGCAGCAGCTCCAGGAGGCTCAAGCTCAAGCACAACAACAGCACCACCTTCCCACTGAGGCTCTGGCCCCAGCTGACAGTCTCAATGACCCATCCATCGAGAGCAACTGCCTCAACGAGTTAGCTAGTGCTGTCCCCAGCACTGTGGCCTTGCTACCCTCAACAGCTACAGAGAGTAAGCTGGGCTGCTTTTTAGCAGGGGTAAATCATTGATAGAGTTGAACTGATGGGAGGTGGACACAGTGTAGCAAGGTGGCATGGAGGTTCTGCCTCAACACAGAACCACCTTCCAGCTGATACTTTGTTTCTTTCCAGGCCTGGCTCCATCTAACACATTTGTGGCTCCCCAGCCTGTTGTTGTAGCCAGTCCAGCAAAGATGCAGGCTGCAGCTACCCTTACTGAAGTGGCCAATGGCATCGAGTCCCTGGGTGTGGTGAGTCTGGTTCAGTGGCCCCAAGGGATAGAGCAGCACTGCCTTTGGGCCCCAAGGGCTTGATGTCATCTCATTTCTGTTCCCCAGAAACCGGACTTGCCACCCCCACCCAGCAAAGCCCCTGTGAAAAAGGAGAACCAGTGGTTTGATGTGGGGGTCATTAAGGGTACCAGTGTAATGGTAACACACTATTTTCTGCCACCAGATGATGCTGTTCAGTCAGATGTAAGTATTCCCAGTAATTGGTACCCTTGGATAGTAGGGTGGATCCTGCCATGCCTGTGAGACAATTGTCATAAAAACGAACTTAGTTTCCCTGCCTTGTGAGAGGAGCTCACAGGAGAACTCCATCTTTGTGCCACTTGAACAATTAGGAAGTAGAAAGGCCAGCCAGAGAGATACCTTCCCCACCAGAGAGTAAGAAAGTCAAACTTAATTCTTTTTTGTTTTTGTTTTTTGTTTGTTTTTTTTTTTTTGTTGGTTGGTTTGGGTTTTTGTTTGTTTTTGGTTTTTGTTTTGGTTTGGTTTTTTTCAAGACAGGGTTTCTCTGTGTAGCTCTGGCTGTCCTGGAACTCATTCTGTAGACCAGGCTGGCCTCGAACTCAGATATCCGCCTGCCTCTGCCTCCCAAATGCTGGGATTAAAGGTGTGCACCACCACCACCCGGCTTAATACTTTTCTAATGGCACCAAGCCCCAGTTAACCTTACCATGTTCCTAGGGCCTTGCTATAAAAGAGACAACCATCACTGAACTTCTTCTTAGTCCCATGTTATTCTAGGACATTGTCTATCTTAGACAAGTACTCTAGCACTAAACTGCCCCCTAGTCCAGAGTATTCTTTTTGACTGCAGGCCTCAAGCCATTTTCTTCTTTACGAGTTTTCAACCTCTTGCCTTAGGATGACTCAGGCACGGTCCCAGACTATAACCAGCTAAAGAAGCAGGAACTGCAGCCAGGCACGGCTTATAAATTTCGAGTTGCTGGAATCAATGCTTGTGGCCGGGGGCCCTTCAGTGAGATTTCAGCCTTTAAGACTTGTCTTCCTGGTTTCCCAGGGGCTCCTTGTGCTATTAAAATCAGCAAGGTGAGTCTTTCTATGGGCCACCTTTCTGTTTCCTGTTGGTCTGCTGTCTGCTCTAGGGTGGTACATATGAACAGAGCCAGGGGGTATCTGGACCAAGAGTATACCAGATAAGGTCAAGGTAGCCTACATTCACCCTTAGTAAACAAGGTGCATTCCAGGCTGTCCATTGATAAAGCTTTTCATCTAATCCTGAGAGTCCTAAGGAGGCCTGAGTCTTGTTGGTCTACTTTCAGATGCAGAAACTGAGGCACCAAGAAGCTAAGTGAGAAGTTATGGATTAGATGATGGGTTTGAGTTGGAGCGTATTATAAAGGCTCTTTAAAGTCCTTTAAAATTTGATGTGGAATATCTCTGGGTTGTTTTGGGTTTTTAATTTTTTTTTATTACATTTGTATTTGGGGGGGTGGTCATAGTTGTGCCATGGTGCTCATGTGATGGTCAGAGGAGGTTGTGGAAATTAAACTCAGTCATCAGGCTTGGCAGCAGACACCTTTACCATACTGCTGAGTCATCTCACTGGCCCCTGGAATATCTATTGTATTGGGGGAGATTTTTTTATAAGGATTATTAGCAGTTCTAGAAGCTTCTAGCCCTCTTGCTCTGAGACAGGCAGGGTGGGCTGAAGCCACAGTGGCTGAAGAAGGCAAGACTTGACTTTATGTCCTGGGTTCTAGAGCCCAGATGGTGCTCACCTCACCTGGGAGCCACCATCTGTGACCTCCGGCAAGATCATCGAGTACTCTGTGTACCTGGCCATCCAGAGCTCACAGGCCAGTGGTGAGCCCAAGAGCTCTACCCCAGCCCAGCTGGCCTTCATGCGAGTGTACTGTGGGCCTAGTCCTTCCTGCCTAGTGCAGTCTTCCAGCCTCTCCAACGCCCACATTGACTATACTACAAAGCCTGCCATCATCTTCCGCATTGCTGCCCGCAATGAAAAGGGCTACGGCCCCGCCACACAAGTGAGGTGGTTGCAAGGTAAGTGTTCACAAGCCTTTTGGGGCAGTTTTTAGGGAAAGTACAGGGGAGTGGAACAAAAATACCTAGCTAGACTAAGGAGGCTCTTGTGTTCTGGGGTGCACAGAGAAGATACCCTGAGATGTCTAAAAGTGAGAAAAGTTAGGAGGAGGAGCAAGAAGAAAGCAAAAGCTGTTAGGTTCAAAAACAGCATGTCCCAAGATCCTTAAAATGAGTGGCTCAGGCTGAGGCTAACTCCCTAGGGGTATCTGTCTTAGGAGGGACATTGAGAGGCAGGAACTGAACCTGAGGGATGACATGAGCAGTCAGGACTGTGACAAGTGGGGTACACTCAAGTGTTCCTGCTTTCACCCTGGCTGCTCACCATCCATCCCATTTCTTTCAGAAACCAGTAAAGACAGCTCTGGCACCAAACCAGCCAGCAAGCGGCCCATGTCGTCTCCAGAAATGTAAGTAGCAAGTCTCTTTCAGGAATCTTCTGTGTGGGGTACTTAGAGTGGAATTAAGTTCCATTTCTCATCAACTGCTTGGGATTATATCCACACAAGGTCCTGAGTTGGTGTTTTTGTGATACCCTTAGGACCCTCTAACTAGTCTTCTCTTTCTCTTATATAAGGAAATCTGCTCCAAAGAAGTCTAAGGCTGATGGTCAGTGAGGAAGCTGGCCAGCATCTGGATCCTCCAGACCCCTCTGCTTCAGGAATGCCCTATAGGGCCCACCTTCCCGCTCTGCCCACCTGGCCTTTGCACTTCACCCTCACCAGCTACTGGCCACCATTCAGTCTCCCCGTTTCCCTCTGTTTTTACAATAAAGAAAGCACATTTTACCATTGCTGTTGGGAGGAAGCAGAAGGCAGATTGGAAAGAATGGCGAGTAAGTGCAAGTTGTGCTCCTTCCTTTTCCCTACTTGGTGCCCTTCCTGGGTTAAGTATGACTGGACAGTTCAGAGACTTTGGGAAGAAAAATTAAAAACTGAAAACAAGGGAGATAGAACTCATACTTAAGCCTGTACTTGTTTATAGTTCATCACCTTTGGCCTGAGATGCAGCCAAGGGCTGGAGGGGGAAGGGCATCCCCCAGTTTCCCTCAGAGGCTTTTCCCGGCAGGTATCCCATCTTGGGTGTCTGTCTGGTTTTATTTTGTTTTGTTACTTACTATCCTTGTATTTCCAGCCACCTCTCATCCCTTCTTCAAGCTTAGCCAGACCCTATCTCGCCCAGCAAAGTCACAGAAAGCTTAATGTATCTCAGAGGCCTTTGAGTTCCCACTCAATACTTCTCCCTCTTTACAAAAGAGAGGGGTAGGGGAGCCTTGGTTGGTCTGAGCAGTGGCTGTGAAATCCTCCCAATGGGCACAGAATGGCCCCCAGTAACCCTGGCTTTGGCCTACCTTTTTGAGCCTGGGGGCCACATCACCAACTGCTGCATTTGTTGTATTTTTTAGGTTGAAATTAATGAAGTTAACATTTTTATTGTAATTTTAGCCTTAGCGTGTGGGGGTTTATCCCTTTTTTTTTTGTTAGCTGTGTACAGAATGTGTATCCTATCTTCTTCCCCCCACCCCCACCCCTTTGGCTAATCATTGGCAGGAGTCTTCCTGGGGAAAAGCTAAAAAAGCAGCTAAGGCAGAAGAGAAACAGTGTCCTGAGTGAGACTTGTACTGCCCTGATATCGTGTTGCTAGCCCCGCCTGTTTCTCGAACAGTGTGAGACAGTTAAACTTCATTCCCTATGGGTTAGCACTTATATAGAGGCTTGGGCTTGAAGGTGATGTCCACCTTAATCAGCATCACTGCAGAGACTGACCCTAAACAACACAGCAGGGGCAGGGAACCGGTGGGACTTGACCCCCTTGAAGGCAGCCCAGGATGGGGGGGTGAGGTATGTCATATCCCACAGAGGCTATGGGTAGGTACCAGATACCAACTCAGTAATTAATTTTGTAGCATTGTCCCCAAGCTCTGGATTTTTTTTTCTCTCTCCAGGACCCAAGTTTAGGCAGTAAGTAATGCTTGCAAGCAAGTTACTGAAAGATTTAAAAATGGACAGCCAATGTGTTCAGCCGCTCTGGCCCATACCCCCTGGGGCCTCTAGTGTATTGTATTATATTTCTCTGTGGAAAGTCATGTTTAGTCAAATTGGAACCCACTTACCTGTTCCTTTTGTTTTCCCCATCCCTTCTCCTGAGCACCTTTTGATTTCTGAGGACAGTACTACCCATTCATCTAATGTAGAGTAACCCTTGTGACTCAATATTACCATAGTGCGATGTTGTTTTGTGCTATTTTGAACAATTAAAAAGACTTTTTTTGAAATAACCATCTGGTATCTACCCGTGTGTCAAGAATGTCTCGTGACCTTTGGAGATTAGAAGCTTGGACCTGCCCAAGGTACACCCCTGGGGCCTCTAGGGACATGATACCTTATAGACCCATGGCTGAGAGGCCTCCTTGAACAATTGCTGATTTTGCATTTAGAAATCAGTTCACAGTCTGGAGAGATGGCTCAGCAGTTAAGAGCACTGATTGCTCTTCCAGAGGTCCTGAGTTCAATTCCCAGCAACCACATAGTGGCTTCACAACCATCTGAAAGGGGATCCAATGCTCTCTTCTGGTGTATCTGAAGACAGCAACAGTGTACTCATATAAATAATAAATAAATCTTTAAAAAAAAAAAGAAATCAGTTCACCTATTCTTCCCACTAAGGCAAACACCTAGCTGGCCATTGGTAGTTTTCCTGGACATATAAACCACACAGTCTCTATAAACTTCCCACCATAAGTTAAGCAAATACCAGGGTGTGTATGACACGAGATGCTGCAGGACCAAATTCTCTGGTATTGTGCACAAGCCAAGCATATAAAGAGAGAGACGCAGAATTACTGACCCTGGCAGCCCAGTAACTAGTTGGATAATAAATACAGCTATGATTTGGTTGAATAATGCTAATTGGGCAGAAAACTAAGAAAGTCTGGAGATAAGGCAGCCCTGGACTATAGTCCCAGAAGGTTGAGAGGAGCAAGCATACCAGGTCCTTGGTTGAGATAGAGAAGGAGTGAGAGGAGCAAGCATACCACCAGGTCCTTGGTTGAGATAGAGAAGGGGTGTAGAGACATGTCTCCTCAGCATCTCAATACTGATATCAGGGTTACGGTTCTTTTTTTGTTTGTTTTTGGGGGTTTGTTTTGGTTTTGGTTTTGTTTTGTTTTTTGTTTTTTTTTTAGTCAGAAACTCAACTGAAGTCCTGGCATGTGTAGACCAAGCAAGCCTCAAACTGCTGTCTCTGCTTCCAAGTACTGGATTTAAAGGTTACCACACTCAGCTTTTTATTTTAATTCTGTGTACATGTGTGGGTCGGTGAGTATGTGCAGGTTCTCTCAGATACCAGAGACAGTCCTCTGGAGCTGAAGTTACAGGCAACTAGTAAGTACCAACTTAAGGACTGGGAACTGAACTTGGGTCTTCTGCAAGAGCAGTATACAATCTTAACCACTGTGTTATCTCTCAGCTCCATGTGTTAGTACTTTTCTCACCCATTTTGGTACCAAAAGTTGCCTCCTATGAGCTGAGTGTACCTGATGCAGGACCAATACAGTAGGCTGCCTTTGAAAAGCCCTTTTCTTGGTGCTCACATCACCACTGGGCTCCACAGCAATACTTCTTAACATGTGGTATCCATTATGTCCTCCCACCCAAACTCTTCCCTGCCCCAGATGGGACCCATCCTAGGACAGCTAAGGAAGAACTTGGGGGCTGGGAGGATAGCCTCAGTAGGTTCATAGCCTTCAAGGCTTCATGTTGGCATATCTTTTTTTTTTTTTTTTTTTTGGATTTTGGTTTTTCGAGACAGGGTTTCTCTGTGTAGCCCTGGCTGTCCTGGAACTCACTCTGTAGACCAGGCTGGCCTCGAACTCAGAAATCCGCCTGCCTCTGCCTCCCAAGTGCTGGGATTAAAGGGGTGCGCCACCACTGCCCGGCTGGCATATCATTTTATTGGGTTCCTATAGCTCTACCTCCTTTCTAACCCCCTAACACTAAGAGAGAAAAGGTTAGAAAGGAAACGGGGTGTAGACCTCTTGGCCAACAAAATAGACTACTTCCTATTAATTAGGGTCGTCATGTTTCTTGGGGCAAGTCCAATCTTTATCAGAATATCCATCAGTCCAGCAATCCAGAAATAGCAAACACAACAGCAATGGGAGCAGCAGGCCCTCTTGGGACTCTCCAGAGAGTCCTCAAAATTAAGCTGTCTGCAGCTGGCAAAAATCACACCCTTCTAGAGCACAAGACAATCATAGTTAATAGCTGTGGACAAACTGAAGCAGCCCATATCCCATACATGGGGTTAAAACAAAACTGAGTTTTTAAACCAAAACTCTCACTATATTTTCCCCCCTTTTAGTGCAAAATAAAGCCTTTTCTCAATAAGCTAAATACAGTAAGAACAATTATGAGAACTGTCAAATAATTATATTTACAATGTCCACTATGTGTATTTGGCAACCTGGAAAAAAGTACTCCACTGTCCTATCCTGGTGAGTCCAAAGTTCTGTACCTAAATCACTTTCTATCATAACTTGCATTTATCAACCTAAAACCATCTCAGATCCTAAACAACTTAAGCTTTTATATCTTTAATAAGGAAAACTTTTAAGACTATAACTATCTAGTCTTCAACCCCATCAGAGATCTGGGAAAGCTATATTACCTTACTAAATAGGAAGTGTAGAGCAAGCAGCTTCCAAAAGTACAGAAATGACAGACTGCTGGCTCCCTGGACAGTCACCCAAAGTTCCTTTGTGTCATTGGGGCATCCAGTCTTCAGCTAACAAGCCCAGAATATCTGACAGACATCTGTGAAGCAGAAATTTTGAACGACTGACCTACTTTACTTTTGTCTGCAAATTGGGCAGTTAACTTTCCAGTGTCCTGTTTATCCACAGTTTAGACAACCTGCTGTCAGCAGTAGAGGCAAGAGCAGGTTTTTGTTCAGTGGCTAGCTTTGCTGCATTTAAAGCAAACTACATGTGGAAGTTTGATGCCCATTAAAAGCCTTTTGTTATTAAAACATCTTTAAATGCCATAATCTGTGGGTCTCCAAAGTGTTTGAAGATTATCATATTTAAGTAAACAAATGTTTGTTTCTAGCTATTTACTATCTGGTTAACTTTGAAAACATACAAGAGGCTAAATAAAGCTTATTTCTGTAATTAACTACTACCTAGTATCCTAAAGTATCCCCTTCCCTTCTCCATAACACTAGATAGGAAAGAAAGGATAGAGGGGAGAAAGAGATCTCTGAATCTAACCTCCTTTACTTTGAATCCTCCCTGACCATGACTAATAACAACCTGAAACCAACACCCCTAAATGAAAACAAGTATCCATAACCTATCAAACAACCAAAAACCACCCACCCCACCTCTTGGGAATGGGGCCATTGTGTTCTTAAAATTGCTTCTGGCTGTCTGGGGCGAAGGAAACTTTTGGGGACCCTAAGAAAATTGGGATATTGACAAAATCCTGGAAGATCTGGCTATTTCACTTGCTGTCCAGTCTCAGTATGATAGGAAAGTGCAAGGCTTAACTAAAGTCCTAGCTGTAACAAGTCCCTGAGGCTGAACCATCTGACCTAGCTGTTTTGAAGTTGACCTGGATGCAAATTCTTGAGGAAACAGTGAGGCAGTTACTGGGTGAGGCTCGATCACCCAGACTACTTGCTCTGTTTTCACTGGTGTATGGTCTGTTTGCTCTGAAAACACACAAACTTTTAAAGGTAGTATAAGTACATTTCTGGATTAACATGTGTGGAATGCATGCTGTGCATAAATCAGCCAACAATTTTCTGCTTAGTGTCTGAGCAGGTGAAAAGCAACTATCAATTTTAGAAGTCCATTTGGACTGTGTAACCAAACTGTAATATAAATTTCCATCCATGCTATATAAAAGGATGGCATGTGTTTTAGTTAGGGTTTTACTGCTGTGAACAGACACCATGACCAAGGCAACTCTTATAAGGACAACATTTAATTGGGGCTGGCTTACAGGTTCGGAGGTTCAGTCCATTATCATCAAGGCAGGAGCATGACAGCATCCAGGCAGACATGGTGCAGGAGGAGCTGAGAGTTCTACATCTTCATCTGGAGGCTGCTAGCAGAATATTGACTTCTAGGCAGCTAGGATGAGGGTCTTAAGCTCAAACCCACAGTGACACACCTACTCAAACAAGGCCACACCTCCTAATAGTGCCACTCCCTGGGGCAAGCATATACAAACCATCACAGCATGTAATAAGTCATGAGTACCAGGTAGCCAAAAACATTCATTGGCTATGCAAGAGACATTCATGCCTCAGCTAGCAGGAGGTCTTCCCGGGTCATATATAATCTATAACTTTTGATGGTAACCATATATTTTTCATTCCCTATAGAAACAAAGAAAACTGTCCTCCCTTACATACCTAAGTCACCCGTAATTGGATAAAATAAAAAGCCTATGGCCTATTAGCAAAGGCAGGAAGTAGAAGGTAGGAATTCCAATAGAGATAGCACTCTGCGAAAAGCCCAGGAGGATTTGCTATAACTTTAATTTTTCTTTTTCTTTTTTTCAAGATTTATTTTATTTATATAAGTACACTATAGCTGTCTTCAGACACACCAGAAGAGGGCATCAGATCCCATTACAGATGGTTGTGAGCCACCATGTGGTTGCTGGGAATTGAACTCAGGGCATCAGATCCCATTACAGATGGTTGTGAGCCACCATGTGGTTGCTGGGAATTGAACTCAGGACCTCTGGAAGAACAGTCAGTGCTCTTAACCTCTGAGCCATCTCTTCAGCCCTAATTTTTTCAAAACCTATTTTTAATAATGGTTCTTAAACACTTTAACCTCCCTTGTAGCCCACCACCCACTAGAGGCAGTGGAAAAGAAAGGATACAGGGGAAGTGGACCTGTTTAGAAAGGTTCTTTGGAGCAACTCCCGTCTGTGTTGTCTGGAAATCAACAGTTCAGTTCACAGGTTAGCAGAGGCAACTTGATCCACTTGCAAACACCCGACAGATACACCAGCAGTCCAGTTCAGTAGAGCAGGGTTAGCAACAGTGGTGACATGACCAAGCAGAGACAGCCAGGACTTGGCCTCAGCACAAGTCAGGAGGAGGGATCAGGAGGGAAGTCAGGATAAGTTTTCAACTGTGCCTCTCTCGGGAAAGCAAAGGTCAGTAAAGACTCAAGACTCACAAGCCTTGCACAGCTAACTGTATAAGCAAGACTAGTTCTGCCTCCTTCACTGTCTGTTGAGTCCTATTTATACTCTATTG